ACTCATATAAAGGAGGATTGGTAAACTTTTTTGCGTGTGGCAGCCCCTTAGAGTCCAGCGGAAGGCTTTTGGAGGAGAGACTGGGGATTATTTATGGCTCCGAATTGGCAGCCTTTGGCCGCATTGGACTAATTTATGAGGCCGCTCTATCGGTGGTGCCTTTTAAAAGGTAAAAGTGTAGCCAAGTGAAATGTAATCGCTTGGGCTAGCTCCATGTATGGAAAGAGGGATCGCTTGCATCCTGTTCCGTTCGGATGAAGGTAGCACTTGACCTGGTTCCAGTATCAGCCAGGTGAAAGCTAGGATAGAGAGTAACGTTCACATCATGCAATATGGAATCAGTGATAGATATTTAGTTCAATATAGTTTAAAGAAAAGCTAAACATCTGGAAGGCTTCTACAGTAGAGCATCTAAATAAAGCATTACTGAAATTGAAGAGGAGACAAGCCAAAGACATCAGGATCAACTGTACACCGTGCACATAAACAGATGGACCTGGAGAGAGGCTTTGGCCATTATTACTGCCCGTTTACCCTCAGACTGTACAAATTCTCTCTTGGTTGGTTGGTGTTTTAAATCGCCTCTGCTTTGATCAGTTTTGGTGAGGCATACGTGGCTCAGCCTTACCTTCGGAATCAGCGGAGGGGGTCCACAAGCTTCATTACTTTTACGCGTCACCTCTAGGTTTGTGGCCAACAGTATATTGGGGTTTGGGCCGGGTTCGGGCTGATTTTTCATGTACAGCATCGGGCTCAGGTCAGGCTCAGGTTTATACACGAATGTGATTTTAGAAATCGTGTTCTTTGGTGACTCAGTGTGTGCATTTGAATAGACCATCATGTACGGACAATGTCTACCATTTATATACTCACACTCTACAAAATTGCTGGGTCCAAGCCTCTACAGACAGCTCTGTCTACGGACAATTATCAAAAAAGTTGTTTCATTCAAAATAACACATTAAGAAACAGCGCTGCTAACACTGTGCACTGAACTTAAAAGCTAGGCAGTAATATGCACAGTAGGACAATGCAGTTTGTCTACAAGCTATTTTACTAAAAAATCACTGCATTATGTTTATACCTCATAATTCTATTCAGTCAAACAGAGTAAAGTTGACTTTGGTAGCAAATGTTAAATTTTTCGCTGCCTCCGTTTAGCTGGCCTGTGTGTCTCCACCCATATTGGGGAAGCAGTTGTGATTTTTTTGTTTCAAACAGTCTAAAGTCACACAACGTAGGTCTGGTGGGAATATGCCGAGGCAGAACGTTTAAAGTGACCGATGGCTTTGTGTCTGACTGTCACGGAGTCCGTAACTTTTTTGTGTAAGCAGAGCCACCTTCATTGTGTTTGTTCATTAGCATGGCAGTGAACACTCAGCGGGTATCAGGGTGTTTGTATCTGTGAATTTTTTAAGTACAAGTACAAGTAAATGAGCATGGTATCGACCCGATACCTGATACCAGTATCAGTATCGATGCATCCCTAATTGTAACAATAGTAGAACCACTTTTGGTGCTACATAAAACCCTTTTTGCTAAGAGTGTAGAGAACTGGAGCTACACTCAACCAAAACTAGATCAGTTCAGTATTGAACAGCAGTTTCTTTTGGCTCAAAATAATTCAAAAATTGCTTTAAGTCTTTGAGTGGACAAACTAATTCACTCAGCACAGAGTGCAGAAGCATGTTGCCCTCGTTTTTGGGCTGCGGTGTTATTTAATGCAATGCAGCGATTCTAATTGATTCTTGCAATTGAAATCGATGCATCTGAATCACAGCCGCTGGGACCGCAGTAGAGTTGTCTGGCCAGTGGCTGCAGCCTGCTGGAGTTTGCATAAGGAAAACAGTTGCAGATGAAGTCTAACAGTAGGTCTCAGAGTGTCAGCATGCTTTTACAGTTAGCGATTAGCTGAATGTTGTTATTATGAAATGAGGCTCTTTTAGCTGTGAGTCACGAGCTGCCCTCCGAAGACCCCAGTCAAAGTGCCATAAATAGCTATGATTTACACTGGAACCCAGCTTTCCATTTGGCCTGTGTAGATAGCATATACACCGCCTGTTACAGCCATACAGCGCAGAGATAAGCTCCACTTTTCGAGATGTTTTATGAACGCCAGCCACACTGATGGTCATATTTTGTCTTAGCAGTATCGGTTGCTTAGCGAGAACACATGATGTATTGCATGCTAGCTCTTACAGTGCAGGGAAAGCATGATGCTGACTTAACCCAAGGCCCTACGAATGGAAAAGGGCTACAGGACTAATCTTAGCTTCTTATAGGCTTTAAAGAGTTGTGCGTTGTGCTTCTCAAAATAAACTTGAAAGAAATGGAAAAAGTCTTCACGTCAAGCGGAGATTTAAGACAAGAAAACTCGTATGCATACGAAAAAGCGCACAGCCGCTTTGCTTAAACTGCTGAGTACGGCCCTTGGATTTGACCTCATAAAAGGGTTATGAAAGCTCTAATCCTCAATTTACCCACATTATTTTCACTTAAGAACAACTTTCCGCAAGAAAAATGTTATTCAGTACCTTTTTTCTGGTTAGAAAAGAAAAAAGAAAAAGCTGGAACAAACAGCTGAAATTGTTCTCCGGTTAAATCACAGACCATCGCTGACATTTCACAATTCACTATTTTTGCCCAAACATTCATGCGATGATTCCTGCCAAGCATTGTTTTGATAAGCGTATCAATTTACATAATATTTTCGATGCCTCAAACCCAGTGTTTGCAGCTATATTCAGAAATGTACTACTGGCCGAGGCAGTGGATGAGTGAGGCGCTTCCCCCCCCCCTGCTACAGCCTCAGTGTTTTGAGGCAAAACACAGAGAGGAAGTATGCGAGCAGTACCTTTTCCCGGCCCCAAGCATAGCCCCGCTCCGCCAGGGCCTGCGGGACGCTGCCAACCCAAGCCCTCCGTGGATGTTTGTGTAATCACATCTCTCCCTCTCTGACTGGAGCTGGAGGAACGATCCAGTGGCCACCAATTGCAGGCTATTTTCCACTTTGTAAAACATTATCAAGTAATGCCTTTTATGAATATCTAATGCGGTAAATGTCTGGAATCGGGATTTGGTCTTGAATTAGGGTTAGGATGTCTAAGTGCACGGGACATTGCGTTTTTGTTTTGTTTTTTTAACTCTTGATCTGAATGAATGCCTTCAAACTGAAGTAAAGCTGAATAATTGAACAGATATGTAGGTATAGTTATGTATGGTAATAGTAACATCATATAGCACTGAAAGGTAGCTGTGTGACGACTCACTGCTGATCTTAAACCAACCAACAGCTCTCAATTTTGGTTTGAAGTTCATTTGATCAGACTTTGACATTCCAGCGCTCTAATCATAGAATTCCGATGGCGTTATGCAGTCGCGCTGCCACTGTTTTGGTAGTAAAACTTGTTGACACAGGAGTGCAATGGTGGTTTGTTATGAGATAAGAAAGCCATAACTGATATCCGATCCAGCGAAGGCAGTAAAACACTTGAAAGACATGAAAAACACATGAAAGCTGCTTGTTACACATCTCCAGGAGAAAGTTTTATGTTTAAGGCACTTCAGTGTAACTGCAGCACGATTTAAGGTGGGACAGAAAATTCATGTCAGAAGCTGGTGAATACGAATTTACCCTCAGCTTTATATTTATGTATAAGTTTATTATTATAGCTTTGGAAGTTTTGGTTGCCACTTTTACTAGTTTTTGTAAAATCTTATGCATTGGAAAATTCTAAACTCAGACAGTCTATATGAATACAGTCCACCAATCAAGCTAATCTTCTTCCCATAACATTTTATGGAGACCGCTCTAAAGTGTCCACATATCTTTGCATCTTTCTTTGTGGTTGCTGTGGACTATTTTGCTTGGTCTTAATCCACCTGCAGTGCTGCAGATGCAGCAACGGTGACGAGATGAGCTCCATCAGAGCAGTCAGAGTTACAGTCTGCCTACCAAAATGGTGATGGGGTGTTCTTAATGATGCAATCGAATCACCTTCTGCTTTTGCACATAGTGCAGTTAGCTAGAAGTGCTGCTGTTCAAACGCACCAATCAGAGACTTTTTTAGCTTTATCTCACTTTAACTCACTGTGCCCTGCGCCGTCCACCAGGCCTTGATGGCAGCCGCTACAGCTGACCGGCAGGCAAAGCCCGAACCCTTAATACCGCCGAGGGATGCGAGTGATGGTGGGAGGAGGAGGACAACCACCAGCAAGAGGCATGAAGGCGGGACACAAGTCCCAAATTCTGCCGCCCAAGTCTTGCATCCTGTTCTGCAGCGAGACTACACTTCACGTTTGATCCTGGAGGCCGAGCTGGGGAGCTGGGTCGGTGATGGGGAGGCGGAGCAACGAATTCTCTTTCCTGGCAGACTTTAGGACTCTCGTGGCTGTCGCCATCATCCCTGGATCTCTGGCGGCTGTCCTCCCCCTCCCGTCATCACTTGCATCCCTCGGCGGTGGTCGTGGTTCGGGCCTCGCGGGCTCTCGCGGCTGTTATCAGGGCCCATGGGATGGGCGCAGGGCACACTCACCCACTAGCCACTCGCACTCACAAGTCCAAATCGCATGATATTATAGTGATGGCAGTGAAGAATGAAGCAGGAGATGCTGTGGAGAACCCAAGTCCAGCTCTTTATTTGGAAAAATACATGGCGCTCAGGCTATACTGACCCTATACTAACCTGTGGTCAACAAACAACAGAGTGCCGCAGTACCCTAGCGTCCTCTGTAGAGCAACAGAGGAGGCACTGCCACAGTATCATTCTCAGAAATATGTAGTGAAAAATCATATTAATAAGTAAAAAAAAATGTACATTGTGATTTTTTTCATGCTGTCTATGACTCTCTCTCTCTCTCTCTCTCTCTCTCTCTCTCTCAGTGTCTCCCTGTTTCTCTGTCTCTGTTTTTTTTCTCTCTATAATAACAATATATCATATACTAACAATAATAACAAATTCTCTCTCTCTCTCTCTCTCTCTCTCTCTCTCTCTTTTTAGAAAAGCCCACCTGATCCTGAGGCGTGTTGACCGGATCAGCCTGCTCTGCCGCTCTCTGCTGCGGAGCGGCTACATCCAGAGCCGGACGGAGAGCGTGCCGTATGTGATGTGCCGAAGCGAGGAGGTGCGGCCGGCAGGCAGCGTGTGGCACAACTCGCTGCATGACACACGGCTGGCCTGCGTGGAGAAACTGCTGTCCGTCCAGCGCAACATATATGGCAAGTCCAAACTGCGGTGAGACACGCTCCGGACCTTTCGGACTTCTCCTCGCTCTCTCGCTCTCTCCGGTCTCTCGGTTGACTGTTCTTTTTTCTAAAAGCCCATACAAAGTCTGAGACTGTTCAACCTTTTCACAAAAAGAGAGAAGGGGCTTTTTTTTCAACGCACGGCCCTTCAAACTGTTTTTTTTTTGTTTTGTTTTTTTTTTCCAGCGAGGAGAAGCAGGTAGCATTAGCAGCCTGGAGAATAACAGCTGATTTGATTTCTACTTTTCTTTTGTAAGGACGCGAGAGTGGCCAAAGCACTCTTACAAGCACGCTGAATAAAGGGATGTCTTGAAATTACTTGATTCAAATGTGTATCATTTCCACAATAATGAAATATGTTACTCCAACACAGTTTACTAACTTCTGGCAACACTTGTGTGGATGTGATGTACTTTCTGTGGAACTGATGTGCACATTTGAATAAAGGAGTTTCAGTGGAGCTCTTTTTCAGTGTAGGTGGACTCTGTAGGACTGAATGTAAGGTTCCCACTTCATGGTGCTGCAAATCTCAAACACCTGTTGGACGGCGAACCTAAACGACTTTCCAAACATATCTCTAGGGAAAACCCAGCAGGGCAGAGAACAAGTGACATCGAAACATCGATACCGCAAAGGCCTACATCATCTTAAATGCAATGCAAAGGCCTGACGAATTATTCTGCCCAACATTTAAGGGGACTTTTTGATGTCTGTACTTTGCATCTACCCATCATTTTCCTTCATGAAACAGGGGCAACGTTGTGTTCTCATATTCACAGTCGGGCCCGACTGATATGAGCATTATGTCTTTGATACAATACAGATTTTAAGGAGCTAAAAAAATTCTGATGGCTGATAATTTTGGTCGATATTTTTCAAATTGTATTTAATTTGATATACCATACTGTGCAAAAGTCTGAGACCATTCTTTCATTTATTTCATTTCCAGTCAAGACAGCCATTAAGTGATTCATTTTTCAGCCTCAGAAAAAAGATATTTAGAAAACATATTTAACAGAAAATGACACAAAAGCGTTCAACATGGTAGAACATACCCATATCCAGCAGTATTTAATTTGTCCACTGTTTAACTCTTCCATCCTTCCAACACTCACACAAGTAACTACTCAAACACCTAAGCTGCCTCGCAAGTGTATTACTAATGACGGTCTAAAATGCCTATAGGTGATATTTCTGAGGAGAAAGTTCACTTGCATAAGAAAGGCAAAAGTCAAAAGAAATTATCAAAAATAAGTTCCAAAAATGGAAAATGGACCTTCTGACATCCACCTGCATAGACCTTATAGCCCACCAAAACTATCCCCCTTAGATAAACAGCGCTAACAGCTTTCAAAACACTTTTTCACAAGCTTTTTTTCTTCAGAAAAAAATCCACAGATGTTTCTATCCATTCTTCCACTGTGAGAAGACAACTCAGCCTGAAAGGAGGTGTAACTGATTATAAGCCAATGCTGAGAAAAGGAGAAAAGAACACTGAAGCTGGATATCTGAGATGTGCAGTAAGGTTTTAAGATGAGTCTCTGATGAGCCTAAATGTGTGCCAGGTAAAAGTGGCCCAAATCTGATTTTCTCACTAAATCAGATTTTTTGGTTTGGCTGTTCACAATATATTTTAAATGTGATCTGTATGCGACATCAGTCTGAATAGATCAGCTCCTAAACTGACCCACATACTTCACGTGGCTCATCCAGAGGTAAACAATCGCAACAGCCAATGAACACCAGTCCCTCCTGGAGAGTTCAGTTTTATCTTTGCCAGCATCACAGGAGCCATCATGAAGCTTCAATGACTGACAGCTGGGCTCATCACCCAGAATGAGTTTGAGCTCACTGTGAAAAGGACACGGTCACTTCTTTGGTTCCTGTCCTCAGATTCTTTAAACTTTACTTTCAGACTTTTAACTGTTCGTTGATGCTGCTGCCTCGTTCTCCACCAGCCATATTCGGCCATTTCTTTCAAAGTCTCTTCACACATGAAAGTGTTTGGATGAGTCTCTTCTAATTTTTGTACAGAAACATCATCCCAAATGTTTATGAGGTCACAGCAGCACGAAATTATGACAAATGTTGGATTGACATAAAAGCCGCATGAATTCCGATCTGGCTGTTCAGACTGAGTCGCATTGCTGCAGATCGGATACATATTGGATTTCAGTACCACATATGAAAGCGTCTCAAATCGGAATTGAAAATGTCAGATTCAGTGTGTTTATCTGTTCACACAGACACACAGACTCACATCTGTGTCACATATGAGGAAAAAGATCAGATTTGGGCCACTTTTACCTGCTGTGTGAACAAAGCCTGAGAGTACTTGGATTGTGAGAAGCAGAAAATGCTGCCCAATTCTAGGACTGAACTTTAGAGGTGTGAAAAATAACCCTGCAAATTTCTTAGAAAAACTGAAAGCACGTCTCCTGAAAAGAATGCTAAAGAAGCTGTAATAGTGTGGTCACGCTAAAAACTTTATCATATTCAGTTGCCGAGGCTTCTGTGAAATTTTCTGTTAAATATGTTTTCTGCTTTTTCTCCTGACTGTGAAAAATGTATAACTTTATTTGTTTTATTATACATTTGTTACAGAAATGAAATCAATGAAGGGTGACCTCTGACTTCTGCACAGTACTGTAACTCCACATGATCAAAAGTCCTTAACCTTCCAGGTGAGCATGGGAAGCTTTGTGTGTCCATGGAAGTTTCAGAGTTTAGGTCCTTTTTGCAGCCCAGTACATTAAAAAATTTGTTGATTCAAATGTGTCACGTAGCTGCACGTGAATAAAAAGTGTAACCTTAACAGAAAGGTTTAAAACACCTTTTCCAATATAGGTTTGGATATGTTCTTCATTAAGGTTTCCCAGGTTTCCCAGTTTAGCCACAACGTTAAAACCACCTCCTTGTTTTTACACTCATTGTCTATTTTATCAGCTCCACTGACCATATAGGAGCACTCTACAATTACAGACTGTAGTCCATCTGTTACTCTTCACTGGTCTGGACCTCCACAGGACCACAGGTATTATTTGGGTGGTGGATCATTCTCAGCAGTGACACTGACGTCGTGGTGGCGTGTTAACGTGTGCTTTGCTGTGCGAGTGGATCAGACACAGCAGTGCTGCTGGAGTTTTTAAAACCCTGTGTTCACCTACTGTCCACTCTGTTAGACACACCTAATTGTTGATCCACCTTGTTTTTGGTTGGTGGACTATTCTCAGTCCAGCAGTGACACTGAGACCAGCAGCACTGCTGTGTCTGATCCACTCAGACCAGCGCAACACACACTAACACACCACCACCACGTCAGTGTTACTGCAGTGCTGAGAATGATCCACCACCCAAATAGTACCTGCTCTGTGAGGGTCCATGGGGGTCCTGACCACTGAAGAACAGGATAAAAGGGGGCTAATAAAGTATGCAGAGAAACAGATGGACTACAGTCTGTAACTGTAGAACTACAAAGTGTTCCCACATGGTCAGTGGAGCTGATAGAAAGTGTAGAAACAATTTTATTGACAGCATTGTCACCGATACCAGTAAATCCATGGAACCTTAATATCGACCCATTTTATTGGCTAAATGATATATCAGCCAGGCCCTGATTCTCAGACAGGCCTTTTAAACACAAGCTACCCCACCTTAAAGCTCGAGATATGTTCAGGCCTGTCACAGATCTCGGGCATCATAACTTGTAGTGGTTGTGTACTGCGGGATTGTAAAGGGATGCGAGTGAGTATAAAAAAAAAAGTGTAGCCCATCAGCTGTGTGAATTGGTTCAGGATTGTAGTGTATTATTAAAATCTATTTTATAACTGATGGTATGGGCTAAGTGAGCGTAGTAGATAAATACAAATTGTTACATGATGGAATCAACCAAAAGGTTATTAGCCTCAACACATTATTTTGAGTAATTTCCATTTAATGTTATATCAATTGTGATAGTAAATTATACTGCTGTACAGAAAATTGTAAATACAGTATGTAACAAGTCAATATGATTGTCTTTTTTGGGGAAAGATCTATTAAATATGTATACTGAAAATCACAATTACACCCACTTGACCACTAGTGTTTTGTTACTACTGTAAGCATGCTGAGAGAATTCATCACAAGGCGGAGAAGAAATGTTTCACTCACCACAAGCGAGACTTAAACCAGCAGTCATCTATAGTCTCAGACCTCGTCCACATCTATCTGGATGTTTTTGAAGAAGAACGTTTTTTAGTGCTGTAGAACTCTTTTCAAAATGTTCTATATAGTACAACCACATAAAACACATGCTCCATTAATCTGAAGAACCGTTTAAGGATGCAAAGAACCCTTTAATCATGCAAAGAGTTCCTTGAGTGTTCATGGTCCTATATAGAACCATTTTAATTACTAAAGAACCCTTAAACAACCATGGTTTTTAAGAGTGTAGATCAGCTGGCTCTAACCTGGAGAGAAAGTACTTCTGATTACAGTCTATGGCCAAGAAATAGGATCAGAAAATGGTAGCAAAATAATATTTAATAAAAAAGCAGTATTGTCCTAAAGGCATGGTTCAGTTCTGAAGGTAAGGCTGTTTCTGCTTCACTGTACTGCTGTTGCGTCTACGCTACTACATTTTCAGCTAAACAGCCTTCACTATATCCTCCGTGTGCTCGTAACATTTTATCCTTGATAATATTCCATTCATTCCTACCCTTAACTCTGCTTCCCAAACATCTCTCCATTCCTGTCATCAGCACACATGCCTAACGTCGTAAAGCTGCTCGCGTCAGGCCACAGCCTCTGCTTCTGCCAAGCTGCCAATTGAAAGGCAGTGTCACTGCAGTAAATCATCTGTCAGTGCTACCTCAGCGGACCCTTTCGAACGGCTACATCTGCTCCGCTCCCATCCCCTGCTGCAGGGATGCACTTTTCCAGGCGCATCCTGAACTCCTCGGGGTAGCCCGGCATTTTCTCTGATGTAGAACGTCAGTCATCGGATACTCTG